AGGAGGAGGAGGAGGAGGAGGAGGAGGAGGAGGAGGATTGTTGAGTTCTTGATGCTCTTGGAGAGGGATGGTTTCCTTTTCTTTTTTTATGTAATATATTTGCAAAGTTAATAAGAGGAAAGTCTTGTAAATTCTTCGGAGAAGTGAAGCTAATTAATAAGATACTGCTGGCAAACGGTTCCTCCCTTTTTGCAGAAAGTTTGCAGAAGGTTTCAAAAGATTAGCATTATACCAAAACAGTTCAGCATATTCACCTCTGTTTGGAATGTCTCTATATTAGCAAAGAGTTGGGAGACGTTTCATGACCCAACTAGGTGACATCATCAGTGCTAAAAGAAAAGGGGTGGTTTGCTCTTTGCTTTTCCAGCCAGTGTTTGTGGGGATATTCCTGGTGAGTCTTTGATCATTAGGCTGTTTCCTGAGGGTTTGTTAAATTGGTAGTTTCCTGACTGTTTACTTTTTGATTGATGGTCTATTGTTAATCTTAGCGTAAATCTCTGCTCATCTGGGTGTTGATCGCTGACACGCAGCCGTTTGGGGTTTTGCTGTTTTTTGTGTTTCCTTCTTGGTTTTTGGGGATCTGCTCTGCTAGCACTGATGATGTTCCCTAGTTGGGTCATGAAACAGCCAATTTCAGAGAGCGTCAAGGACCCCCCATGGTTTATTCCTGGGCTACAAAGATTCTCTTCCCTATTCCACGCATGTATCCATCCATGGCAGTCATGCCACCCATTTCCTCCTGGGGTTGGGCAGGAATTCTTTGCATCTTACCAAAAACTGAATCTCTAGCTCAGTGTTTCCCAAACTTGGCAACTTGAAGATGTCCGGACTTCAACTCTCCAGAATTCCCCAGCCAGCGAATGCTGGCTGGGGAATTCTGGGAGTTGAAGTCCGGACATCTTCAAGTTGCCAAGTTTGGGACACACTGCTCTAGCTGGATGGAACCAGGAGCCGAAAGGGCGATGCCACCAATCCCTGTTTTGCAACTCTGTGTAAAGCCAGCACCGCAGCACAAACACACCTGCAGCCCAAGGGGACATTGGGGTTCCCTTCAACCGCTTTGCAGGTGCTCCTAAAACTCCAGACAACAGACAGGAGGGGTTGCACGAAAGCTGCCGAAAGGCCGTTGCAGGAGCTGATCAGGCTGAGGGGGAAAGGTGGGGTCAAACATGTCATCAGTTCAGAATCTTTGCACAGCCACAAGAGAGCCAAGTCCGGCTCCCTGGGAGTTCTGTTGAGCCTCAGAGGGCCAATGTAGCTTTGACTGTTAGTTGACCAGATTCCTGGGTATCGTCAACGATCATAACATCTTCTGTGCTGTGAACCTGGCGAATGTCCCTGGTTCTTCACACCTGACAGCTGTGGCCCACCCACCACCAGCCCACCCCGCCACTGACTCACACCTAAGGGTCCCCGTGCTCCCACCCCTCCCTTCAGGCGGCTCCTCCCTTGCCTTTCCCAGCCACACAACGGGTACCGGGCATCACACAGCTTGGCCCACGACCAGGACGCTCATGATGGCCACCATAGCAAAGAAGGTCCACATGAAGAAACGGTCCATCACCTTGGCCACCTTCTTCCACTCCCCCGTCCGTCTGGAAGCGGCCTTCTGCTCGCGGAAGCAGTTGGCGATGTACTCCACATTCCACAGGACACCCTCCTGGTGGCACCAGCAGGTCCTTCGGGGGCAAGGGGGCTGTTCCTCAGACTCCGCCTCCTTGGGGCGGGGTCCGGGCCCTCGGAACAGTGGGGCCTCCCAAGGAGGGGGCCCTCCTGCCCCCATGGGTTCCTCACCGCTGGCCCTCTGGACTTGGGGGAGTGGGTCCGGCTCTCGTGGGGCGCTCTTGCAGCTGTCCCCGACTTCGTAGACGAAGAAGATGCGGGCCATGTACCGCAGAATAAACTTGCGGGCCCACCGGGGGACGGGACGGGCCCCGGGGCCACAGTGGTGGATGTTCATGATGAAGATGGTCAAGGCGGTGGAGGCCGTGATCATCGTCATGGTGGCGATGTAGTACTTCCCTGGAGGGAAAGGAAGGAATGAAATGAATGAATGGAAAGAAGGACATAATGGCCAATATTTCAGGGGCTTTCCCAAAGAGGAGGGGGGCAAATTATTCCCCCCCAAAGGCAGGACTAGAAGCAATGGGTGGAAACTCATCCAGGAGACAAGCAGTCTGGAATTGAGGAGAAACTTCCCAACGGTGCTTTTTCAGGAGGCTATTATGGACTTTCTTGTTTTTTTTTTTCTTTTGAAGACGTTTCTCTTCTCCTCCAAGAAGCTTCTTCAGCTCTGACAGGATAGTGGGGAAGGGAAGGATTGATACTCCTTGCAGACAGCTGGTCATTTGCATCCTTTTGGAGGATTTTAGAGCTCATTGAGGCTACCTGAGTGGTGCAAATGGTTCCTGTAGCCTGCCATTTTCCTCTCTCTGGAAATCCACTCCTTCTCCCACCCCATTCCAAGGGTCTCCATCCCGAATTGTAGAGCTGAAAGTCTGTAGAGATTCTCAGCCATCCAAGGTGTTTTTTCAAGAGGCAGGCACCTTCGGCGCAACCACGACCTGGATGGCTGAGACTCTCTACAGACTTCCTAGCGGTGAGAACAATTAATCGGAGGAAGGGCTTTTCTCCAGAGGTTGTGGGTGCTGACATCTTTGAAGGCTTTTAAGAAGAGACTAGATAGCCACTTGTCCGCAATGGCATAGGG